AAATAAATTTATAGATATGAGTTTAGAATTAAGTAATAATGATGAAGATAGCGACAATGAGGATGGTAAGTTTTGTTAGTTTTATCGATTCTACTTTACTAATATGACAATTAATATTTAAAGTTTGCTAATGATTAGTAATCATTATAATTATTAACTACTGCAGTAGTAGATTTTTAAATATTAATTATCACGTTATATGATGTTAACAACTCATTTTTAAAAATCTGCTAATTAAACTAGACATGTTATTAGATTTAGAAAATGATGATAACACTTATTCACAAGCCCCTTCATCACCACCTGATCTTGATCAAATAGAAAAGCAATTTAAAATTGCTATTTATGATTCTTTGAATAAATATTGGTATGATTTTCGTGAAGTTGGATTGGTAGCTACCCTTTTAGACCTCCGGACCAAAAGAATATCTGCATTTACAAACAGAGAAAGAGAAAAGGCTGAAACAAAATTAAGAAATGAATTTAAGAATTTACAATGTATTAATAATATTAGCAATGATCAACCAGTGCAACAAACATTGTCAACAGTTACTGAAATAATGCAAAATCTATTTTTTGAAAGTATTTTTGGAGTACAGGGTCAAGAAGATATACTTTTGGATAAGGTGGCACGATATCTGAAGATTACCTCTATTAATAATTATAATGTCAATCCTTAGAACTGGTGGAATAATCATAAAACTGAGTTTTCAATTTTGTCATTGTTAGCACGTAAATATTTATGTGTACCAGCAACTTCCGTCCCATGTAAGAGACTTTTCTCAGATGCAGAAAACCTGATTACTCCTTAACATACATGATTAAGCTCAAAGATTATTGGAAAAATTCTCTTTTTTAAGCATAATGCTGAACTTTTGAGTAGGTTTAAAAATTTATATATCATTTTTAATTCAAATATGATTTTTTTCATATACAATTCTCAAATTCTTTCATGTTATTTACAATAAACTTAATCAAATAACGATTAAAAAAAAAAAATCATACAAAATTTAGGCTGAAAAAGACAAATATAAAGACACCAAGATGATCATTATTATCAAAAATGTATTAACGCTTATATCATTAGAGGAATGTGCTATGAAATTGCTATAAACAAAAATACATTTTGCTATAATTAAGGTTAAAGGTACTGATGGTGAATA